CATGGACGATATAATCATTGTTTTATATAATTAAATAATCAAATAATGAGTTCATGTAACATCATCCACTTCCCTAAGGTGGCTCCAACCCAGGCTCATGATCGATGCTGTCGTGATTAATTTAAATATTTTAACTACCAAATTGATATTAAGATGATCTAAAATAATTGCCTCCAACATCGCGTCACCACAATCCACTGATCATGGATTATCTAATGTCCTATTTAAATAATCAAATAACAACATGATCAGTGGATGAAATGGTCTGCCATACCCCACACAATTGACTCTCAGTTGACTCCCACATGATTGTGGGAAACTCCCAGGTTCATCCCTTATTGAATCGCAGAGTAGAGTATTAACATGTTTAAATGCTGAACTTTCATTGTGTATGCAGGGTTTTTAGAAGATATCACATATTTAATGTTGGGCAACTGCCTCAAAAGTGATGGACTGAAATCCAATAATCACTAAGTCTACTATAGCAAATGGACTATTACCTTCCTGAAGGAAGTCACTAATGACAAACTCACCTTTTGATGAATAATTCTTAGTCATATTATCTTTTGTTCCATAGGTTGACTTCTTCCGAGAGAGAGTATTCATAAACAGAAGACTTTGAACTGTTTCTCCACAGACTACGTTCTCTGATGATTAGGTAATCTTGAATTTGGTAACCAGTAAAAGCTGAGGCACACTTCCAGAGGTTTGGCTATGACTTGGTTAGGCGAAACAAATGCTAGCATTAAAAATTTTAGGAGATAGTTATCTTGGAAGACTGTAATGACCCATGATAACACTTTCTCGAAGCTGCTCTCTGGTCCTTGGCCCATGATACCAGGATACAGAATGCAAGCAGGGTTGCCAGGCGACATTTTTGAACGAAAATTCTGTCACTTTCTAGTGGTCCTCCCCCATGCTAATAGGTGTATACCCACCGATGAACTAATCTTACAGCTTCACTGAGTTTCTCACAAAAATAAAGCAGAGCTATTTCTTTTGAGTTCTACATATTTACCAGTCTCTCAAGCTACAGTTTTCCTATAGTGACATAAGCATGAAAACGAAAGCATCATTGTGCCATTCAAGTACAATGATGAGTATTTTAAACCTGTTTTCGATGCTTCAATTTTCTAATTTCTAGAACGGAAACAATACAATGAATAGCCTCTACCATAATCCTTTTCCCTTTATTGAAAATTAAATAAATTCCACTTTATCCTCTTACCTTTAGAGGAGCTTCATCCCATGGTTTCTCAGAGTTGTTTAGATTTGCATTAGGCTGATGATTAAGGATTTTGAGCAGTGTCTTATGTTTCTTTCAGTCATTTTGGATTCCTTAATTGACTGTTCTCTATTAAGTCCTGTACCCTGCTTTCTAATATGGTTATTTAGAGTGATTTATTTTTGGTAGTGTGTCATGTTATCAGCCCGAAAGTGTTCATTAGATGAGATTCCCTGATCAGGAGATTATTCAGTAATTCCATTTTTAAAATCGGTGGTCACTGTGTCCTTCATTGGTCAGTAATGTTGCAACCTCTCAGAAACTGATGATGCGAAACAGTACAGTTTTTTAAAATCGTGTAATCATTCGATTGTTAAAAATCTACTATTACGTAATCAGTAATCACTGTATAAGGCAGTGTCCCCCATTCTCCGGGCACTACTTCTGGTACCGATCTCCTGCTGTGTCAATCCCACAGCAGCCAAAAGACAGATGACACCATCATTACTTACGCAGTCAAATAACTTAATAATTGGATAGTCCTCCATACATAACTTTCATAAGATGGAACAAAACTCCAGTGATTGTCAAGGAATTAGTACTTAGATAATTAAATTATACCACAAGATTAACTCCCATGGAGAATGGCCTAACTCCAGTCAAGAAGAAGATCATCTTCATCGATTTAAATAAATAATATATAATCAAAAATGATTGAATAATGACATGGTGGTGTATACATAAATCTCACATGGAGAAATCAGATTGATTTCTTCCTGGAATACTGAATTTTTTAAAAATTAAATTGATAATTAATTAGTGGGCCTTTTATAGTAACTCTGACTACATGGCACCAAAGTCCTAAACCTACCGCTGATTTAAAGATCTATTTACATAGATAAATGGAGAAGTAATGAGATGATATTACATCATCAACTCCCAAAATCTGACTCCAAAAGGGACTTATGATCCATAACATTCCCTGTATTTTAAATACGTAAATGAAATGATGAATTATTACATAGTTTAATAGTTTAACAGTTAAAGAAGTATGTGTAGCATTAGATGACGTGATGGTCTAGAACAATGGTCTCCCCTAAGGAGGCTCAAACTCCAGTGATCACAGAATATATAATGACAGATTTTCATAATTAAATGAATAAACATTAAACTAGTGGATGGTGTTTTATGCATGAAGCCTAAATGATTGTTCAATATTGATGAGACGTTGAGTTCTTACTCATAGATTTGAACAAAAAATGAATAAATAAAGAGATAGTTTCTCATAATTCACCCCTAGAAAGATAACAAAATGATATCAACATTGATTGAAATAAAGAAAGGAAGAAATAAAGAAAGAATTCACAAGATGCAATTTAACACCAACAAGGTGGATTCAGACTTCACTCTTCCTGGTGTAGAAAAAGACATATTTGAATAATGAAATAATCAGATATTTAGATGGTCTGTCACACTTGAGACATACAAGGTGGCACCAAACTTCAGGCATCACAGATTGTATAATGAAAGAATTTAATAATTGCATCTTTAAATATGTAAGCCATTGACGTTTTTTTTTTTTTTTTGTATCATCAATTCCTGGACAGACTTGCCAGGTATGAAACTGTATGCTGTCATCATGCATTTTTAAAATGCCATCAGTTACTCGTCAGATAATCATACTGTCTTGCTTGATGAATTCTCTTGGCCTGACATCATCACAAGCGCCTGAATCTCTGTTGTGGTGTGGCAGGATGTGAGATAATGGGCCCAATACTGGCGTAGCAGTAGTAGCCACAATGCTGCTAACAGGTGAAAAGATGGCTGCAGCAGGGACATCACCAGCATAGCTGAGAGAGAGGTTCTTCCGTGTTCTGAGTCGTAATCCTTTTGCCAGGTCTCGGTGATGGTGACGACCTACTAGTGCCCCTCCTTCTTCTCATGTGAAGATGTGGAGGAAGAGCAGGTAGTCAACACCCACACCACCGTGCCGGCCTTGGTGAAGTCCTTGTACTTCTCGGAGGGCACCATGCAACCTTCTGGACTCAATCACCCAGCATCCCTTGTACTCTGGGAGATGCATAGATCATTCAGAAAATGCTCGGCCCATGTCTACAACTTTCCTAACCTTGTCCCTGTCAGATTTTTGCACCCTAACCGTAATTGGTGATGGCACTCTCTGTCGTTTACATAATTTAGAGAATTAAATAAGTCAGTAATAGCTAAATGTCACAATAAATAGGGGAAGTAGCATTTTACTGGCAGGGAAGCATGGAGTCTCCAGTCATGAAGGATGTCATCATCATCTATTGAGTCAATGAATCATAAAATGTGAAGATAATGCACATTATCTCCACAAAAGGGAGCTTTACAGGTCTCTTCATGGAATGGATGATTGTTGTTTACATAATCATACAAATATTTACATTACCTTGGGGATTAACACAGATTGTCAATTTAAATTCATTAATTAGGTAATTTGAAGATCTGTGGCACCAGATTCCAGGAGTCATGGACGATATAATCATTGTTTTATATAATTAAATAATCAAATAATGAGTTCATGTAACATCGTCCAGTTCCCTAAGGTAGCTCCAAACCAGGCTCATGAACGATGCTGTCGTGATTAATTTAAATATTTTAACTACATAATTGATATTAAGATGATCTATAATAATTGCCTCCCACATCGCTTCAGCAAAATCCACTGATCATGAATTATCTAATGTCCTATTTTACTAATCAAATAACGACATAATCAGAGGATGAAATGGTATGCCAGACCCCACACAATTGACTCTCAGTTGACTCCTACATGATTGTGGGAAACTCCCAGGTTCATCCCTTATTTAATCGCAGAGCAGAGTAGTAACATATTTAAATGCTGAACTGTCATTGTGTATGCAGGGTTTTTAGAAGATATCACATATTTAATGTTGGACGGCTGCCTCAAAAGAGATGGACTGAAATCTAACAATCGCTAAGTCTACTCTAACAAACGGATTATCACCTTCCTGAAGGAATTCAACAAGGTCAAACTCACCTTTTTGATGAATAATCGTGAGTCTTATTATCTTTTGTTCCATAGTTTTACTTCTGAGGAGAGAGAGTATTCATAAACAGAAGTCTCTGAACTGTTTCTCCACAGCCTATGTCCTCTGATGAGGTAATCTTGCATTTGGTAACCAGTAAAAGCTGTAGGCAAACTTCCAGAGGTATGGCTATGATTTGGTTAGGCGAATCAAATCATAGTGCGGGCAGGGGTGGGGCCTCCCCTGACCCTGTTTCTGATGTCAAATGTCCATCACAGCCATCTGATGGTGAAGCTGCTCATGCAGGACCCAGTGGGGGCAAGGGCAGGACCCATGGAGATAGTGAGGGTGGGGCATCAGGAGGGGCGGGGCCACAGAGGCAGGTTTAGGTGTACTCCCCTTGGTGGGCCTGTCCCCTAACCCTGCCTCCACACACCTCACCCCATGTCCTGTGTCCTAGCACTGGGAAGTGATGCACTTGAGGGAAGCTTGCTCTGTCAATCAAACACAATGCACCAAGGGCATCATGGGAAATGGGTCACTGCTTCACAAACTCACCAGAAGTCCTGCCCCCTTCAGTCACTCTCTCACCAGAATTCCCGCCCGGACAATCACTCACATACTCACTCTCCATCTACAATCCTCATTATTGGGGTGTGGCTGGACGCTGGCTGACAGGGACGTGTGGTCCCACATTAGGGAAGATGGCAGCCAGCTCACGCATGCAGCGGTTGAGTGGAAACCCCAGGGCATTGAAGAAATCCCCTTCCATGCGCTCTGCTAGGGCGCCAGCCTTGTCCCTGGGTGCAAGGCAGGGACGAGGTCACACCAGGTGCCATGCTCAGCCACAACCACGCCCGCCAGGGACAGCTCTTCCTTTTCAGGCCTCACTTCCAGGTTTCCTGGCCCCACCCACCCCACCCCGCACCCACTCACAGAGGCTCCCTGCTCTCCACGTATTCACAGAGCAGTGGCTCCGATAGCCGCGAGAATGTCACACGGGTCTCTTCGTGGAACAGTGACAATTCCACTTCTGCTTCTGGGTCCCCTTCCGCCTCTGGGGCCTCTGGGCATGTGGAACTCGGCTCCTGAAGCTGCCTCCGCCACAGTGGCCTCAAGATGGCCACACCGGTGATGACACTGTGCTGCTGGCCACTCAGCCTGGGCGGGGCCAGGGAAGGCGGTACAGGGCGTGGTTGGCAAGGGGGCAGGGCTGGGGTGGGCAGAGGCTGGAGCTCCATGCAGAGGCCCCGCCCACTCTGCCCTGGGTGGGTCTGCCCCGCCCCTTCAGGCCCCGCCCACCTGCGCAGCATCCTGTAGGCATCATCCTTGTCCTTTGGCTTCTCCAGGATGATGCCATCCACGGCCTGCAGTGGGCAGAGCCAGATGCCAAGGGGCAGGGTCAGTGAGGGGAGGGCGGACAGGGCCGGAAGGAGCAGGGCCTCACTCACCACAATGGTGTCAGCTCCAATAATGACATCAGGAGGGTGCAGGTCCTGCAGAGCAGAGGGCGGGGCAGGCTTGTGGGCGGGGCCTCGAAAGGAAGGGTGTGGCCTACCACCTGACCAGAAGGGATGGGGCCGTCCTCACCCTGAGCAGCCGCGAAGCCACCTCCAGAGCCTTCAGCTTTGCTGTCTCCCAGGCATATTCGGGAGGAGCCGGAAATCTCGCCTTCTCCAGGGACTCCTGGAAGTGGGAGGGTACGACCTCGAACTGCAGTCCCTGGGGGGGATGTGCTGTCAGTCACAGCAGGCCCCACCCCTGGAAGTCACAGCTGACAATCCCAGAGCAGGCCCTGCCCCTGGAAGTCACCATGGAGGACAGGGTGTCCCGCCTCCTGGGACCGCCAGCACCACCCACTTCCCCTGCAGCAGCCTGGTGAGTGGAACCAGCTCCATGTTGAAAGGATCGCACATTTCCGGTCTGGGGGGTTCACTTCCGTTCTGGGAGGGACCAGAAATTGTCCACTTCCGGCTTGAGACAACCAATTCCGGTTCCTCTGAGATGATGGGACTTATTTCCTGCCCCTAGGTGTACAAAAAAGACGGCGGGGTTCAAGATGATCATGGGCTACAGTGTAGGTAAAAGGAAACAGGAAATCCTGCCTACTGCCTGTCTATGTCAGAGCCTTAGCCTCAGGGACAGCAAGTCCCACCTCCAGCACACACAGGAAGTGATTCAATGAATGAATGATTGTACAATGAATTAATGAGTTAATGACTGAATGGATGAGTAAATGAATGAATGTATGAATGAATGAATGAGCTAATGAATGAATGACTGAAATGACTGAATTACTTCATGAATGACTGACCTTTGACTGAATGAGTGAATGAATGACTGAATGAACTAATTAATGACTGAATCAATGAATGAATGACTACATGAATGAATGATTGAATTAATGACTGAATGAATGAGTGAATGACTGAGTAAATGAATTAATGACTGAATAAATGAATGAATGACTAAATGAATGAGTGATTGAATGAATGAATGAGTGGCTGAGTGAATGACTGAATGAATGAGTGAATGAATGACTGAATGACAGGTGTTTGATTGACAGCTGTGTGCCCTACAGGCCACGCCTGTAACTCCTCTGACATCACGGCTCCCGTGACACCGCCCATCCCCTGGGAACCTCTCTAAGTCATTAATTCCTGGTCAATGCTCCCACGCAGAAGTCCCGCCCGATTTACCATGTTGCCGGAAGTCCCAACCCAGTTTCCCCGGCAACAGGAACCCTACTGGCAACCGTGGCATAAACAGGGAAACAGCGAAAACCAGAGGGGTGCAGGGACCTAGGGTTGTGATCTCTGTTTCTGCCCTGTTCGCCGCACCCGGAAGTCCCACCTACCGCCTCGATGAGTGACAGGGAATATGCTCTGTGCTGCCTCTTTTGCGGTCAGAATCAGCCGTTTCTGACCTGTTCACTTGGACCTGTTAGTCCCGTCCCTTAAGGCGTTTCCTATCGGGCCCGCAATGTCCGATGCGATCAATTCCAGTCCTGGGCTGAAAGCGGATCCAATTTAATCGCCGCCCGGTGGGCAGGGAATCGCATGTTGCACCATCCGTAAGCGGAAGTCATGTGCCGGAAGCGGAACTCAGGCCACAGTGCACTCGTCCTGTTTACTTCACGGGTGGAACTCAAGTTGTGCATCTCTTTGTTGCAACCTTTCCTGGGGACCATTTTGTGTGAAGCTCAAGTCAGTGACTGGAAGCCTGACGTCCTTGGTTCACAAGCGGAAATCGTGTGTCAGTTTGGCCGGGTGGAACTAGAAGCATGTTTTCCTTTTGTGTCTTCCGGGGACACTGACAGCCACGAACCGGAAGCTTTAGTTCGTGACTGGAAGGCGGAAGTCCTGAGATCGCAGCCGCTTGTGCAGGGGACCGTCCCGGAACCGTGTGTTTGAGAAGGAGTTCCTGGGGACAGAGTTGTGAGAGGTGCTCAATGTCTGTAACTCTGTCTGTTCCAGTCACTCTAGGAGGTCTCTCCCCCGGCAGAGCCTCAGTAATGACGGATAAACATCAGGCAGGCGGGCACTCTGGTTGCTCCAGCGGGATAGATGGGTCCAGTATTTTCAAAGCAGGTCCAAGAAATTTTCAGGAGGTGGAGGTGTTTTTTTGACCCGCTCTCTGTCCCAGTGCTCAACCAGACCAGTGGAACAGTGGGTGCAGTAGGACACAGGGTGGGGAAAGTGCGGGTTCTGGGTGGGGTGCTTTGTAGATCAGAGTACTAGAACTTTACTCTCTAGAGATAAGATATAGGGCGTGAAAGACAAAAAAGTAAAGTTAGAGAAATGCCCCATTTTAAATGAAGGACAGACTAAACTGGAAAGTTAACCCCTAGCAATATCTGTTCCTTGGAATCTGCTAACTTACCCTCACAAGGCCCTGAGAAAACAAGATACCCAGAATTCAGACTGTCCGTCCTTTCTTGTGAGTCAGCAGGTGTTGAATAGGGTCTTTAAGAAACAAATAGATAACTGCACCTCCGGTTTGCCCAGACAAGATTAATTAGCACACCCTGAGGCCCTAAGGTCTGTTGACCCTAATAGGGAGACCAGCTAAAAGGGTCATGTACTCAATGGACAGAGGGTCCCACCCCCTCCCTAAGCATGGGGTATTTGCCTTTAAAAACACCTGTGCCGGGGGGAGGGGTGGAGGGAGGAGATGGCTTCTTCTCACTAGTCTGCATGCTGGAGGGGCCCCTTTGCACAAATGTTTCCTGTTCATTAAAGCCTCTTGCATGTTGCAGCAACTGGACTGGACATTGAGTTCTTGGGGATACAGATGGAAAATGGGAGACTCCTCATTCTGAGGGTCTTACAAAGCTTGAATTCTTGAATAATGCAGATTGTTTAAAACTGCTCACTGAGTAAGATGTGCTGGCTAACAGTAGTGGTCATACACAAAAATCTTCCTAGCTCCATTCCTCTCTAAATTTTCAACTTTCCATGAAGAATACTCTTTTTATAATTTTGTGTTTGTTAAGTGGTTTTTCTGAGGTTCAGGAATAAAACTCCTACAGTTATAGAGCAATGATCAAGCTTTCTGATGAGAGAAAGACAAATTATCAACTTTTTGATCTGCTTCCTGCTTTTATTTCCTTACAGTTGGAAGTTCCTGTACAACCAGGCCAATAACACCTCATGCTACAGAGTGGGTGATGTGCCCCCATGGGTACCAAAACTCGATGACCATGTCAGGAGTGGCTTCGTCTTGACAGAAACAAACACACTGGAGGTGTTTTGCAACTGCTGCCATTTTTACTTTAGAGTATTGGGTTTTTATACAGAAATTACAAGGAACATATCTTTGGTCACAATTTACAGACATATTATAAAATGCCAGTGATTCCTTTGAAGCATGAGATAAAAAAAAAAAAAAAAAAAAAAACACTTATTTTCACCTGCCTGTGGTCAGTGTACCAGAGATTTGGTTTACTGAGTTAGAGAAAAGTCATTGTCTCTTAGCAGTAAACTGTTAAAAGCATTGATAAGAACTCTTGCATTGCTTTACTAAGTTTAGAGGATAGTCATAAACTTTTAACAGTATTTTTCTGTCTTTTTTATTATTTATTTTTTATAACCAAGTCCATTTAAATGAAAACAAACATCTATAGACAATATTTGGGAATTTGGGCGTCGTTCTTTCCAAACCACTTCCTGCTGGTAAGGGGCGCTCTCATGGGGGATTCTAAGAAGATGCTGAAATCCTGGCTGTATTCTGCAAGGCTGCTTTTTCCAGCTGTTTTGAATGTAGGCTCACTTGGTACTCTGTTTCAGGTGGTCTGGCTTGATCAAACCACATTAGTATGGAAGAAATCCACAGCTTTTCGTTTTCTGTGGAAAAAAAATAGAATAGATATCCTTTTCCCCAGTAACTTGTCCTTGAACTTAATGTTTTGAGTCAAAGCATATTTTTTTTTTTTGTAATTTATTATTATACATGTCGATCCCAGTTCCCTCTCCCTTCCTTCCTCCTTCCCTCCCTCCCTCCGAATCTTAAGGTTTCTGTGCAGTGACATCTAATGAAATCTCGATCTCCAACTTGGAAGTAATGTGAAACTTCCACGACTCCCACCACGTAGGTCTCTCAGGGCTGCTTTCTTGCTCACTGTCTCACCCACTGGAGCACCTTAAGCCTAGCAAACAGAGGCTTAAGAAAACAGCACATCAGCACTATGTACAGAGGTAATTTCCACCAGTGGAGGGAGCCCACCAAAGAGCCATTTACAGGGGCTCAGCCCAAACGGTCCAGGGGTGTTTTTAAACCTGAAAAGCACAAAGGGTAGGAGAGCTATCTGATCATTAACGCCAGTCTCCACAGTCAATTTAGTGAAGGTCTCCTCAATGGTTTTATTTATACTTTCTACATGAATTGTTGGTTTTGTATGCACAATGTAATTTTAATCAATCCCCAGTATCTTGGCCAGTGATTTACTTACCTGGGTCACAAAACCTGGACCATTGTCTGATTTTACTACCTTAGGTATTTTGAATCTTCAGAAAATTTTCTTCAGTAATTTTTTTTAACCACATGGTTGAGACAGTCCCATGCACATGAACAGTTGAAAAAGCATACCTGTTGCCTGTTAATGTTTATGGACTTCTCTTCGTCGAGCAGTACCACCGCCCCAGTCCTTTCTTTACCTTTTATAATGTAACTGATCCTGGCAGTGAACTGGTCATCATCTCCCCAGCCAGCAGGATGTCGTTAAGATCTTTGCAAACTCCAGTCTCTTTAACCAACAGTTGATGGCAGTCATGAGTCCCTGGTTCACCAGTCTCCACAGGCAGAAGAGTGGTGGGATGAGGCTGGCTGGTGGAGCGAACACAATCAGC